GAAGGGTGGTAAGGGTGTAGGGATAAGCCATCCGGATTGCCAGACAGCTTTTCAATTCCCCCTTGTTGGTGAACGTGTCGAGTGGGGCAGATCCGTACTTTGTGAAGAGACTCACCAAAATCTCTTTCCCCCTCTCTCTCTATCCCCAGTCTTTCACTTCGCGTCTCTCATCTCGACGACATCGAGTGTGTAGGTACTCATCGTCGAGATATCTGTCACAAAGGTACACACAGACACGGGGAACTGGAAACCCGGTTACTGCACCGCGCGATACAGAGTTGTGTACGGGGCACAAGTGTATTGCGGTAACTAAGTAATCCCCGAACGTTATTTGCAGTTATTTCTCGCTTCGACGGATCGCTACGCCCTCGAACGGAACCTGGGGACCAATATTTCCGTTTTCACGACATCCATCCACGCCCTCTACCTGTCTACGCGTGTGCCAATTCCTTTTCGATGTTCAGCCAAATCGGCTCGCCATCGATGCGTCCTGTAAACTGATATTTGTCAAAAGGTAAAACGCTCGCGAAAGATGCCGCGACGTTGCGCTGAAAACGAATAGAATGCTCAATGGCTTTCAGAGAATTTCCATGGTTCCCCAGGAAGGGGAATACCCCGACGCGTTTCAAGATCTATCCGAATATCGACCGCATAGTAAAATATAAGGAATAACAATTTTTCATTTTTTCTTTTCGAGATAATCAAGTTAAACAAAACCGAAAATTACAAAAAATTAAATTCCTCATATTTTTCTTACTCCTTCATAAGGAATCACCTATATACTTAAAGTTACGGCTTGAACTTCAAGCTACTGTTCGTGAAAATTCAATATCTTTTTTGTACATCACAAATTAAACAGGATAGAAAATACAGAGAAAAAGTTTTGGAGATGCAATACGTGAATACATCAGAAATTATATACCATGTAATTGAGATTTTTGGTATCGATAATGATTCTTAAAATAGACATCGTTTCGAGATTAGCGTGTTCGTTTCTCGTGCAGTGGAGACGAAATTCGACACCAACGGATATTTATACACAACGATATCCTTGAGCTCGGAGTCGTCTTTTTTGCCGACGGCCGTAAGTCGACACCGAAGAAGAGGACAGTGAGTGAGAATGAACGAGACAAACAGCATTATCTTTTGTGCAAATCGCGCTTCACTGTCTCCAAGGGGAATCCTACCAGTTATTTGAGAAATTAGAAACAGTCGGCTTACGAATCACGTCTGGGGGTACATTTTAAGTATCATTACTCTATATTCAAATCTCTTTATCCTCGACATTTTTACAAATTGATTTTGTACACGTAATTTTTAAAATCGTACACTTTAATAAAATGAAATTTTTAAATTCTACTTTTTCAATTTCTTTAATGTGTCGGACTTTTGAGCTGAAAGGACGTGATAAATAATGAAGCTTTTTTTAGTTATTACGTAACTATAGTACCACTGTCGATAATTGCATTAGGTTTCAAGTCACGAGTACAATTGAATTCCATATTTAATTGAGTCAAGTCGAGTCAAGTTAAATTAAATTCGATATATTTGTTTTGTATACGAATACATTGCCGCTGAATTGGCGAGAAGAATCGTGAATATAATATCCCCGGGCAATTAAACGTGCGACTAAACATGGAACATATAAGTATGAAATGACCATTGGCCGACCGGATCTAGCGATAAAAGGCGGGAACCGATTAAACTAAATTGCAAATTAGTATGGAACTCGATCGAGGGAATAATAATTAATATCTGATGCACTCAATATGCTTTTCATTCCCAGCTGCAACGATAGGAGGTCGGCCGCGCGTGACGCGGACCGTACGTCAAAACAACACTGTGGTCGTTCGTTTAATTATATCGCTGGCATAAGTGTATCCACACTGTGAGTATATTACGTTCAGTCGATCGCGCGGGCCTGTTAGTTCGTATGGTTACGGGAGTATTTACTGACACAATAATTATCGCAATTGACGGGGGCAGCCGCACGAGCAGTCAGACCGCAGAGCAAATTCTAGGGACGTCGAGTAGTGTTACGTGGCAGGAACTCTCTCACCCTCCCGTGCCTTTTGCTCCCCCTCGATGCTTATTTCTTGCCTCTAGGTTTCTATGACGATTCACCTGCACCGCGGTATCAGCGCCAACGACCATCCTCCAACGATCATTAATATTGGCCCGTACTTAAAATACCTCAAAAGGGTCCAAACTTTGCCCTTTCAACGGGTATCATCAAAGATACTTCGTCGAGAGGGTGTCGAGCAGCGATACAATCCTTTGGAAGAATTTCGGTAACTGTGAGAAAACAGTTATAATATCAGTTACGAAGAATGAAATTGATCGTGTAAAGTTAGGAAAAATAATGGTTTTTTGCTTACATCAGTTTTGGTTCCAGCCCTCATAACTGATATTATTTTGGTTCGGCCACCCCTGGGAAAAATTTTAATGGGAGATTCTAGAGGCCAAAATAAGACGAAAATCAAGAATAACAATTTGTTGATCGAGGCTTCGTTGAAAAGTTATTAACATTTGAAGTTTGACTATCATGCGCGCGCAGCTGTTCGCGATTGCCGTTCTACAGACGACACTTTAAACGTTAATAACTTTTTAACGATGCCTCTATCAACAAATTGGTATTCTTGATTTTCGTCTTATTTTGGCCTCTAGAATCTCCTATTAAAATTTTTCCCAGGAATGACCGAACACGTTGTATATTACTTATTTTAATGTAATCTTAATTGACGAGCAAATTTGTGTCGCAAAAGATTGCATTTTAAATGTATATCCAAGAATGAAAATGCTTAATACGTTGACTGCCATACTTGTTTTTCACTTATGAATTAATCTCAAAAGCAACATTTTATAGCATTTTTAAAATACTAATATTATTTAAAAATTGATAAATATTAGGGATAATTCGTTACAATTATTTAAAATAAAGAATTTTCTCGTTTGAATTTAACTCGCGGTTGATAATGATCGCATATAATTGACAACTTCAGATTTACCTGTTTGGCGGTCTATTTAAAAGTTTAAAGTTTTTTTTTCATTTTTTTGCACCGTATCAACTTATGGATCGACCCAATATTAATTATGTAATTGCAGAAAGGAAGGGTGTAGGCTGTGTATGTACACATAATATATCAACGATATATAAATAATATTCTAGAAAAAGAACGTCCGATTACAGTGGATTGATGGGTACAATTCAGTTAATTCGATTAACCCAGAGCGAAATTGTTTGTTCGGTATCAAGTAACCCAATGTTATCTCATTGGCCGTTTACAGAGAGGGAGAGCGTTCACGGGTGGAGCTTCTTCTCTTTCAACATAAATATACTCCATTATTAAACGATTAGAACATATAGTTTTATTCACTACTCAATGATTAAAGATCGTGGCTGACATTGCGCTCTAATGTATTACTTTCTAAAAGGCGATAGAACGTTAATCGGGAAAATGTAATACACTTTATGACAACTATGCGTTAATATTTAAAAAATGATCTGAATAGTGGGTAGCGTATAAAAAAACCCACATATAACAATTTATTCGATCGGATATTTAAATATTTATTTGTTTATGTGGTGAAAGAAAACATGGTAAATAGAATTAAAAGTATTAAAGTTTCAGTTAAACATAAATTTTTGGGTAGATATTTCAGTAAGCAAATTGTAGGTTAATGCAAACAAGTACATATGTAGTTCTACCAGTTCAAACTTTATTACTGCTTTATATTTAGCTTTTTATCAATTATTGAAACAAATTTCAGCAAGATAAATTTTGTTAAAATTTGGTACAGTTAAACTTTGATTTTTCATTTTTTTTTTTGTTGAAATAAAAATTTGATTTTTCAATTTTGTCAAAATTTGGAAAAATTCATATGTGTATATGTATATTGATAATAAGAAATGTATTAATCTTCCACACACTGACTGAAACAATTTTCTTTTATAAATGATGAGAGTAGGAATACTTATGAGGCGGACTGTACCTACTTCCAACGTATCTCGCTTTTAAAATCTACGTTGCGTGCGAACGGACCACGTGCAGAAGTACCTTTTTGAATTAGAACGTGATTGTTGCGAATTACCGATCGCGTGTTTACCTAGACAACGAGGACACCCGACACAATTTTCGAATAGTTTCTTCGCGGAGTGTCAAGTGTTTGCAGACCCATTGGCATTGATAGGTTAACGTCGAAGCCTTTCGCGACGAAGTTGCGCCGAAGGGGCGGCAACAATGGTCGCGTGGCCGTCGTCGAGAAACATTACACTGTCACGCTCCTAAACTTCCCGCCATCGATCAGAAACATCGGGCTAATGGGACATGGATTAATTAATAAAACGCTTCAACGTACGTCGTGAATTGCTCCCCCATGATTTTTATATAACTTTGCAGGTTTATAGAACAGTTCAAAATAAAAAATTAATACATACGTATCTTTCAATGGCGGTGACAAAGTTGAATTACGACCGCTACAAAAATACGTATCCTTTATTTTTTGCCGTTCTAAAACACCAAATTTCATGAAAATCAAAAGGGGGGGATGTTTCTTTCAGATGATTCTAAATTTTGAGTTTTCATATTTTGAAACAGAGCAGCGAAGATACTAATGAAAATTACAAATTTTACAGTAAGTCTTTTCTTACATTGACATTAGTGTTTATAACCGCGTTAAAAATAAATCTATCGTTGATCATATATTCTATAAAATGCATATATTATCTATTCTTCCTATCAGTTGCGTTGGAATTTCAATCGCGATTCCCAGTTTTCAAATCAGGCGCCTGTTATCATTTTACTTTGGGCCTCCGGAGATGGCGCTGGGTATCCTCCAAAAGTTAACACAGTTTTAAGTTATCTAGATTGATACACTATTTTTGAACGGTGTGTATCCACATTTTAGTTCGCGTTTAAATCGTTAAGTTTCTTTTCCTTAACCCCAACAACTTGTATATTTATTCTTCCAGTTAAAATGTAAATTAGCGACAGACTCACCGTTTCCCGAGGCGGACTCCAGCATTGAGGCGAATTGCGGCCGCTGTGAACGCTGCAGGCCGATTTCGAAAGCGAATTAAGATTTTGTGTAGTAATGCTGAGAGGTGTCACGGGATCGTCTTCCGTTGTCTCGATGTCCACCTCGTCGTCAGAGTTGTCCTCGTTGTTTGACACCGACGTGTCCGGTTGTGGTTCCTGAACCACTGGTTCGACGATTGGTGGCCCACGAATGACAGGGCGGAAGGCGGACTGATGCAACGATGGATTCACTGTTGGTATCAGTGGCTCCGTGGGACTTGTACCGCTTATGGGTGGTAGTAGTGGTCCTAATGACAATCAGTTGATATTTATTGTAGGCTTAGATACGCACAATATCAAAGTACAGTATACGACAAAATTACAGCACACCTTGAAAATATATTATTTTTTTTAATTCGAAAAAAATATTTTACTGTGCTTTGTATATTTATTTAATTTCGTTTTTGAAAGGAAATACAAATGTAGTCCAAACCACCCTGTTTTACACATTACACACAACAATAATTGACTTTTTGCTAATCGTAAAATTTGCACAGAAAATTATATCATTTCTGATATAATGATAAACAAATAGGTACGTAGTAATTTTGTGAATATTTCCACATAAATTAAAAATCTTTTAACCGTTGAATATTCTCTTCGCGATTTAAATTATTTTTGGAAAGCATACATGATACATCAATGTGAATAATTGTTCGTTTAAAATTACCGCCGTTCCGGGAAATACTCACTTAGAAACGCAGACTAGTTTACATATATTGTTTGTAATCCCAGATGCAACGAGCATCAAACATTAACTAACGTGTTTGTTGGGTATGTCGGTTAAACTAATCCTCTACATAACTTGCCCAATTCATGGCTAAAATGTATTACCGGCATCGCTGGTAACCTTTGAATCCTACGCGAATTAATGACTTACTCATACAGCGATATTTCCTCCGCTATTAGTTAAAATAATTTCAATTGATTAATGTTAACCTCAGAAGTACTTAATTCGAAATAATAGAACGGACCGGTAATACAGGGGAATTTCGCTGAATATTAATAATTATTATCAAGGATCATTACGTGACACGCGTTAGTATGATCATTAATGATGTATGAATTTATAATTTTCGTTCGCTCGTCTGCCATATAATTATACTAATGAACTCCCCTAGTCGATGTATAATAATTTGTGCTACCATACCATGTGTAAATATTAAAATTGTATTATTTCTTGTTGTTCTTTGATTAACCACGTTTTTTTAATTAAATGTAATTGTTTCCAACCATATAGAAGAGTGTAATATACAGGGTGTTCGGCCACTCCTGGGAAAAATTTTAATGGGAAATTCTAGAGGCCAAAATAAGTCAATTTCTTGACTAAGGCTTCGTTATAAAATTATTAAATAATTAAATTGAAAAATTTCAAATCATTTTGAAAAAATTATTTTCGGTTGCGGCGATCAATTACAATCATTTTTGGTCAATAGACGCACCCCCGAAATCCTACCCACTTTCTAGAAAAAAATTCGAGAAGTAAAATTTTTCGACGAAAAAAAAAAATTTCAAATCGTTCTGGAAAAATTATTTTCACTTAGTGGGGTCAATTATAATTATTTTTGGTGAATAGACATACCCTCGAAATCCCAACCAGTTTCGAAAAAAAAATTCAATAATTAGTTAAATTTTTTGACAAAATTAAGACATCTCAAATCGTTCTAAAAAAATTATTTTTAGTTACACGGGTCAATTACGATCATTTTTTGTGAATAGACATACCCCCGAAATCCTGCGCATTTTCGAGAAAAAAATTCTTTAAAATGAGAGAAAATTTCTAAAAAATAAAAAATGTTTTAAATGTTAATAACTTTTTAACGAAGCCTTCATAAGTACATTTAAAGTACAAGTTTCATCTGACAGAAAAAAAGATTTTAAATAGTTAAAATTTCGTTTTTCCAAAAACCAAAAATTGATCCCCTTGCGAATTTGTTGCATGGGTAGGAACAGCAAAAATAAAAATGCAATTCGTAAAAAGTATAATTTATATTCAATTAATGGCAGAAAAGCTTATACTTGTTATTTAGTAAATTTTCAAAATCAAGTGTCAGAAGCTGTCATCAAATCGTACATTCCGAATTTCAAATTCATCAAACAGCTTTTAAAATCGATATGTAGCTATCCCTAGTATAGTACTATTAATTTCTAACGGCACCATAATTAAACTGTAAATAGAAAAAACTTGGATCGAAAGCTACAACGAAAAACTCGAAGCTAAAATTTTATAATCAAGATCGACCAGCCTCTTGTCTCTAAAAATTTGGTGTCGATCGACCAATGTGGAGCATTTCGGAAGTACAGAGAAAAATAATTTTATTTAAAAAGTTTAAATACTCACCGGGAATTAGCACAGGACTTCTCTTGGCCAACCAGGGCAAAGCGTAAGGCGGGAACGGGAAACCTGGAGTTTTGGCTGCGGCGACGGCAGCGGCTTGCTGATGATGATGCCAAACATAACCCATGACGAGGTTTCTCGACAGCGGCGTTGGTAATTCTGGGAACGGCGGCACTCGTGGATGCTTTGGCGATGGAACCAGAGCGGATATCTCAGCCGTGGGAGATAATCTTCGTTTTTTCGCCGGGCTGGGCGACTCTCTCGAAGACGGATTATTAAGCAAACGTTTCCTGGTTCCGCCGTTGAACATCGCTTTGACGTCCTCCCAGGCGTGGACCACTTCGTCCGGCTGATTCCCGGACAGTTTCATGTGACGTCGCCAGGAGTTGAAGTTCGCCGCGTCCGGTGGCACGCATTTGTCCGACGGGCTGATACAGTGCGAGTGAAAGATGAACTTGTTCGGCGAGAAAAACAAGCCGCAGTAGGCACATTTTATGCACTTGGCGCGTGAGCTGTTGTAGCGGGCCGGAAGAAAGGCGCCCCGGCATCCCCAGGAGCACTCGTGGTAGACGTTAAAGGCGAAATCTTCGGGCAATCTTTAAACAAACGACAGTTCGTTCCAGATCATTAACCGTTCGAGTCACGCGTATCGCTGTCCCACACATTTTACATCGAGTCACGATTTTCAATTCGAAGCTTCACTTCATGCGCGCTAACCTCAAACCATTGGATGAATAGACGGTTGTCTGTTCTCGAAATGAAACTTTAGAAATGTTTTGTACGCAACCAACGATTACCTTAGTTAATTGTTCGGTTATTTCGCCACTGTCTTTCTTATATTAACACGTTAAAAGCTACGTCGGTCCCTGGGGATTAACACTATAACCCGGTTCAACGAGAACTGGCAGGAAATATGAAGATGCGTGCGCACGACGCCTGATCAGACCAGGGCCCAATCGTAATGTTCAGAGACCCCTACAAGAAACTAATTTTCTAAACAAAAAGTATTCATCCTCAATATTAATACGATATTATTAATATTATTACATAATAATGTAAATAAGAAAGCAAATGAAAATACAAATTAAGGTATGGAAAACTATGTTTCAACATTTAATTTATCTATTTATTACTATACACATATTATGTTGATTCCGTGCTAGAACTGTCAGAATTGTCCCAGAACAGTGTGTTGTACACTATAAACTGTAATGTAATATAATAAAATATAAAACGTCATTAGTAATAAATGATAATATTATGTCGAATTTTAAAATAAAAGTTAATGCAAATAGAAGTAGATGAGTCTATGAACTGCAAGATCAGGAATCTCCTAATTTGTATGGCGACTTTTAAAAATTAATAGCCACTGATATAGAACTTGCAGAATACCTACTCCTACCTCCCCTGAATTTAAACTGATTTTGCATAAGCCCTCCAAACAAGACATTGCCCTCGTCTAGAGTAATTTACAATGCCACGTAACGCTTAATTATGGAAAAATCTCAGTGTTTCCGCTTTGATACTTACACTCGGCATTTCTTGGTCACAAATACAGGGTGAGTCATAAATATTTCCGTTATTTATCGTTGTATCAAAATAGTTCTGAAAACAAAGTTTTACTGTTTCAAGAGATGTATACAGTGATAAGAAGATTCTTTTTTACACGATTTCAAGGTCGTAAATGGTATTTTTGAAGAAATTACATATCTTTTGTTATATTATAATAAATGTTTCGTCAGACGAACATTTCATTCGATTCAAACGAGACAATTTCATACCGTAATACTTTCGTCAATTAAATTTAAATTTTTCAGTCCAAGCTCGTTTATAGTAATAGTATTATAGGATAATGAATTCGTATTGACGTTGGCTACAACGCACTATAATAAAAAATAAGTTGTAACGAGCGATGAAGTTTCGTTCGACTTGAGTGGATTCGTAAATAAGAAAAAATAAATTTGAGATTCGGATCATCATTCATCAACGACGATTACATACTCGACGAGTGACATTTTGATGCGGTATTTAGGTCGGATGTAATCGAGCCCCATTTATTCGATAATTATTAACGAATGATCGACATAAGCGCGCTCTATGAATCGATGCCTACACTTTAGTTAAATTATAGGTTAGTTGGTTCTGAACGACGATACCGGAGAGTGCAAGCGTCACGTAGTTAATAATATGCGGTTATTTTCCATCTATCGTTCACGTACTTCATTTATATATCTTTATATGTTCAATAAACTACTATTCTAAAGCTAAATACTGTGTATTGCTGTCAGAGTGGCGCCTCTCTATGACTTTTACGCACGCATCTAAATAAAAATTACACCAGATTATGTTTCTTCCGAAACAGACAACTTGTACAATAAGATGGAACGAAATATAGAGGCAGATTTTTTGCGTATGATCCATGTCTCGATAGTTATATCTTAGAAATAATCGAAACATTAATACATCGACTGCCACGTCACTCATATGTGACATGAATTTTCACTTAGATAAAAAAAATTATTTCTCAAGATTCGGTGTTGAAAATTCTCTTAAATTTTAATGAGGCTGTAAAAATAAGTTCTACGACAAATTGCGTGTACGCTAGTTTTCAATTGTATATAAAAACAAAGTATCGTTTTCGTGGACAATTTGAGAGGTTAGATCTGGCAGTCAATGTGTTAAATTTCCATATGCAGCAGATGATAAACGATCCTTTCTACTATTTTTGTATGACAAGTTTACACTAACCTCACATTAAGTCCGTTTTACAAGGAAACACGAAGCATAATTTTTGACATTACGACTACGCAAAAATTGACGCATAAAACATTTTAAAAATTTGTTTTAAAGAGCAACGAATTAAAACTTGAACGTCCCTGTGTCGCCAGAAAAATTGTTTCGACAGAAACTAAATTTTATAAGACTAATTTAAAAGACTAAAAGTAAAATAGAAAAACAATTTTCATTTTTTTCGTTCCATCTTACTGTACAATTTCTTTTCCCGTGAATGTGTTTGACGAAAGCCAACCAACCTGGGCGGCGAATTGTCGCCGAGGAACGATTTGCAGAGACGCTCGGCTTCCCTTCGCGTAATCATGCCGCATCTCCTGGAGGAAGCTGGCATGGCACCGGCACGACGGAGAATCTCCAACTGGACGGGTGTGCATTGCACGCAGTTGATGCCCAACGCCACTCTGCGATTGTGAATCTCGTTGTAACTGAACTGTTTCAGCAACGTGTTGCTGATCTGCGCCAAACAGAGCCGCTCCTGGCCCTCGATCAGTAGTGACACGATATGAATCCCGTAGAGAGAAACCGTGCTCACCTGTAACTCCTATAGGTTTAGATTCGCGACGCGGTTCCTCGTGGGCTTCAAATTTTCATTACTTCTTTTGCAATTTTTTTTTTTTACTTTCAGTAGCTAGAAATTGACACAACATGATCGTTATGATATAAATGTTTATAACTACTAAACAAATTTATTTAACCGTTAATCGTGCTGGGTCTATTGTGATCCACGCTTGCAAGAGCCTTGGCGAATCGCTCTACAAGGAAATTCTATGTGCTATAAAGGCTACAGGAAGAGAGATTCAGAGACAAATAATAGTTATTCCGAACCAAAAACGAGGTAGTTATAATAAATATGAATTAAGTATGTACGATGAATATCAATGACACGTATGGAAAGACCATACATTATTATGTATACGTTGCGAAGAGTGGATAGTACTTTTTGTGTTTCTCTTTCTTAAGGTTAAGTTAGGTATAAGTTCTCACAGCAGATGGCGCTTAAGTTGAGATAGTCCAGTTCAGTCCAGTCATACATGCGATGTGAGTCAGGATTATAAGAAAGGACATTATGAGATTATGATAAAACTAATAACTTGGTCAATCATTACTTGTAACCTTAAAACTCTTTGTACATTATTTATGTGTTGTTTGTAAAAAGCGAACACTGATTTGGCAAACAAGACATTATTGCGGCAAAAACAACTGTCGAACTTGTACGCTCATCGATTCAGTACAACATTGAATTTCACAGCGTAAAGAGATATACAGATATATATGATACCTGATTGGATTTCGAGTGCGACTGCTGCTGTGGTGATTGTGCTGATTTTTGGGGCGCGGTTATCGACGGCATCGATAATACCGCTGGCCCGTCCATCCTACAAAAAGAGTAAAATAGAAAATTAATTTTTAAACGTTCCATTGTCTCCCAAAACGATTACTAAATTATCACTCATGCTACGATTTCATATAAATAGTTTCCAAATTATGTACTTTAACTTTTATACAATGATCAAATAATTGCCGTACTGAATTTTTTTCTCGAAAATGCGCAGGATTTCGGGGGTATGTCCATTCATCAAAAATGATTGTAATTGACCCCCACAACCAAAAATAATTTTTCTAAAATGATTTGAAATTTTTTTTTCCCGTCGAAAAATTTCACACCTTCCCGAATTTTTTTCTAGAAAATGCGCAGGATTTCGGGGGTATGTCTATTCACCAAAAATTATTGTAATTGGCCCCCGCAACCGAAAATAATTTTTCCAGAACGATTTGAAATATTTTAATTTTGTTGAAAAATTTCACACATTCTCGAATTTTTTTCTCGAGAGTGGGTAGGATTTCGAGGGTATGTGTAATGACCAAAAATTATTGTAATTGACTCCTGCAACCGAAAATAATTTTTTCAAAACGATTTAAAATATTTTTTTTCCGTCGAAAAATTTCACACCTTCTCGAATTTTTTTGTAGAAAGTGGATAGGATTTTGGGGGTACGTCTATTCACCAAAAACGATTGAAATTGACCCCCACAACCGAAAATAATTTTTCCAGAACGATTTGAAATTTTTTAATTTAATTGTTAATAACTTTTTAACGAAGTCTCCATCAACAAATTGGTATTCTTGAGTTTCGTCTTATTTTGGCCTCTAGAATCCCCCATTAAAATTTTTCCCACCCTCTATAGTTATAGTTATTTCACGTATAATTACATTATTTTTCAAAAACATCATTGCGATAAAAATATTCATGACTCGAAGGATCAAAATTTTGCATTCTCTGTAACCATTCGAAGCATAATAGAAATTAAAAAGCGACACAGATTAATATGTTCCATCGTCACTACATCATTTCATGTCCGTTCCCCTTGTAATTATATTTATTACACTTTATCGATCACTTGTCATTTGCGAGCGAATCAGCCGTTGTCCGGTGTCATTAAATGGCTGCTTGCATTTAGTTCAATTAAATCGCGTCCCTTGTTTTTTTATAGACATTTGTTTGTCCGTGGTCAATTAACCGCGATCACGGCCAGTTTGATTCTATCGATCTCCAACATGGCGATCAGCTTTCGACAATACCGGATGTCCCAGCAAGTAAATTTCAAGCACGATTAACCTTTCCACTCATACTTTTTTCATTTTTCGAGGTTAGAGTTCGATTTCTAGCACTATGAACTCACGAATTATTTAACATTTTTTAATGTCGAATTTAGGCTTCAGCGTTTCAACCTAATCAATTTTCGACCTGAAAACTAACATTTTTTTAAAGAATACAAAGATACAACAATTAATGTATAGAAAAGTATACTTTTATGCAACAAATTTTTTTATTATTTATAAACTTGACGCTGTACGGAAATATTGTCTAATACTTTTTTGTAGGTACCCATGAGCACTACTTTAGAAAAAAATTTCATTGAAATATATTCACTATTGCAGGACTTATGGCCGTTTGAAAATTGGACCATTTTTATGGAGTTTTCTCGCCTCACGAGGTTAAGGAACAACTTTTTGAACATTCTTAGAATTTCTAAATATTCTTCACCGAAATACGCGTTGTTTGTATTTCGAAACATTAAAATCCTGCAATTTGTATTCCCGCGGAGACTGTGCCCGTAGTTGTAAGCTCGATCAAATCAATTTAACTCTAAATTCTTATTCTACCCTTAATCCAAACTCGGTTGCCCCTACCAAGGTGACGGAGTCGAGCACCGCTCAACGGTGGGAGGATTAGTCAAGCCAATCCTCAAACTCGTCACCTTGGCAGGGCGGTTTCCTGCATTTTACAACATTCCCGCCCACTCTGCTGCTTGGTGTCCAGCTATACCATACAGGGGTTAGGGCTGGGTTAGGAAACACCCTTCAAAACGAATTTTGTTTCAAGTCGATACTGTAGTTAATTCCAGGGAAAACAATTATTTACGAAAAAATGCTAGCTAGTAATTACGCGAACACCCTGTATACAGATTTAAATTCATTTCAAATTAAACAAACAATTTGCAATTCAGTTTTATCGCATACCAGTCGTATGATCAATAGGAATTACAGAAACTTCTTTGGGTGCGTACAGTCAAAGCAGATTTCAAAATAAACATAGAAGATAAATAATAGTAGTGGATATATTCGCTGAATACAGGGTGAAAAACCCTTTAAATATGTAACGTGTTTCAAGTGGATACCTAGTTCCGGAGATATAAGGGTTCGAAGCATTTGTTTACTTCTCATTGTTGACATTGCGAGGTCATTGACCGCACGTGCTCCTGGTAAATAGTAAATTCTTGGAAATATTGCGTCACTCGGTCTCGACTGGCACGATGCACGTGCGAGGAAGAGAGAGAAAGAGAGAGAGAGAAAAGTGTCGCGTTAGACGGAGACATAGTGGAAATTAAAAATTTACAAAAAGTCATTTTAAAGATGTGACGAAAAAGAAAGAAATTAAAAAATGTAAGTGTGGGATATGCCTATAGTTTAGTGTCTTTATTTTGAAAAAAACAGGGGAGCAAAGTGACTAAGACTGTGCGTAATATATTTTGGGAGACCGGTAATACCTACAATCTGCAATCGAAGTCTCTTTTCATAAGATCGAAAACTGCGATATATTTTACTTGGAAGAAAGAAACCGAGACTCTTTCAGACGTTTGCTGCCGTTTGCGCGGAGACGACGTAGGATGAAAAGAAAAACCGAGAAGAAGCAAGAGCCATGAGAGAAAGTGGAAAAGCAGAACCGAGCATCGAGTTCCTTATCCTCTTAGTCGGAACGGTGAGGCATCCTGCCGCTGGAAGATGAGAGACGGAGTGCCTACCAACTGACTACAGACTCCTTCCATTAGTTTAAGGCTACGGTTACGGTGATACCGGAGTTCCGACAAAAAATGTCGGAACAATCGATGTTACGATAATCACACCCGGTACATATAGCTATGTATTAACCCAAGTAAAAAAGTATTTAATTATATAACCCACAACCACAAATTCCAATAAAGAACTTATTAACCATTACGTTAAAGTGCATAATAATTTTAGAAAATATAAACTATATTCGGTCACCTCTGGGAAAAATTTTAATGAGAGACTCTAGAGACCAAAATAGGACGAAAATCAAGAATACCAATTTCTTCACTGAGGCTTCGTTAAAAAGTTATTAACGTTTGAAGTTGCGCCTGTAGAATCGCAATCTGCGAACAGCGCGTGCGCGCGATAGTGGAACTTTAAACGTTAATAACTCTTTAATGAAGCCTCGATTAATAAATTAGTATTCTTGATTTTCGTCTTATTTTAGCCTCTAGAATCTTCCATTAAAATTTCTCCCAGGGGTGGTCGAACATCCTGATGATGGGGCTTATAAATTTGAATGTTATAGCATTCGTGTAATTTTGCATAAAAATGAAAATGAATGCTACGGCGTTCGCGTTAAACCAGTGCGTCGAGTTCGTCAGAACGCTCATCCAGTGTATCTAACTATGGTCTTGCAGATTCTTACGTGTTCGTCAGAGCTCCAATTTGTACGAGAACGCGTCCCCCCGCTGTAACCTTAACCTAACGCGCGGCGAAGATTTCATTGGGATTGTGAATTTTTCATGAGAGACCGTCGACTCTAAGAGAAAGACGGCGAACGACGGAATAACACTGTAGAGCGAGAGAGAGAGAGAAAGAGAAAGGGGAAGAGTCGAAGAGCGAGAAGACAGTAAAAATACGATGAAACGGGACAGACGGATCTGACTTTGCGCAGATATGCCAGAAAGAGAGAAAGTCGATACGTAGATTGACAGACAACGAGAGCGCAAGAGAGAGAGAGAAAGAGAGAGGTATAGTGAACAAGAGAGAGAGAGACAGAGAGATCTAGTAGGAGAGAGGAGTGGGAGGAGAGGCCGAGGCAACCCTCGGTGTTGATTTTAATTGAAAACGCCTCCGTGAAGGTACACGGCTATATACCGTTCACCTGTGTACCGGCGTACACGTACAACGGGTGTACGCGGATAAAACTCATCTACAAGCGTGTATAGCCCTGACATAGAAGCACAGAGAGCGCCAGCGCTCCAGAAAACGTCCCCGGGGATCGTGGAACCAGGGGGTAATTCAATTTGACACCCCCCACCCACGCTTAAACAAGGCAGCACCCATCCGATCCTCCACCTTCACCCTTCTCTCTGCCCTCCACCTCTCTCTTTCTCTCTTCCGCCGTTTCGTCCCTCTCGGTCCTCCTCCTCTTTCCCATCTTCGCGCTGTCTTCGTCGCGCAAATTAAATTCTCATCCACCGTGAAACAATGCCGCTTCCCGAGCCGGAACAAACCTCTCTCTCCCCCCCCTCCCCCCTTCGTGTCACCCCATTCACCATCCCACCTGCAGCCACCGTCGACCATTTCCTACTCCAACAACCCCCCACCCTCACCTATTCTCTCTCTCTCTCCCCCCTCCTACCTCTCTCTCTCTCTGTCTCTCGCGAGCGCTATCCGTGTATTCCTGGATTCCACTGGTCAGCGGTTCGACAGATTGGACTCGAATCGACCGCATTAATTACTCGCTACTTACAATTAGTGCAAACTAGGAACGGCCTGCCGCGTACGTTCCACTAATGGTCACGGTGTTTGTTCCTCTACTTACGCGGGATACATTAGCTAATTGAGCACCGATAATGAGATACGGTTCCCCGACGTGCGAATGGGAACGTCGACGTGAAAGATTCCGATGGTTACGAACTTCGATGGGTTCTTATGGCGAACGCGACCAGCCCGGGCCGCCGGGTATAACGAATTAGGAAATTCGTAAGAAAAACGGTTTAACCTTTAATTGCTCGCGCGGGGTATGTCACTAGCGATACGGAGGGTGTCTTGTTTAACACGTTCACTGTCAGACAAAAACCGTACAATTGCAAGA